CCTGTTTATAGATAACTTATGTTGTGCTGTGTTTTTGTGTGCTTTTTTTGCAGTCTTTGGTGGCTGGCTTCTACAGAGTTAAATCTGTGTTGAACAATCATATCTGTTGATTCATTTGGGAAGGTTATCATTTGGTTTTCCTTTTACATTTTCGTTTGCTACGCTTTGTCAGTTTCCAAGACAAAGTACATACCAGTTAGAGTTCCATGCACGCCTTCTGTTTCAAGTAAACTGTGGAATTCCATTTAGTTTATGCTTCCTTCTTTTTCTTCCTGGTTATTTTCCTACATGCAATGTATTCCTTCCTTCAGCCTATTGCCATTGCTTATGCAAGTATGCTTGCATTTTAAGAGTCAGGCGCAGTAGATCACCACATTTAGCAACACATATCAACATAAGACTTATCTGTTGGTGCATGGTCATTCTTAGTATTGAGAATATGCTTCTCTGTAATGTAAATTTGTGCAAACGATAATGGTTGGATCTACCATGATGTCCAGTGGCTGCCGTAATGCATTCAGTATGAGCAGTGTACTCATCCTTTTTTGTAACTGCTAAGTTTTCCTGCTTTCTTTATCAAATTCAGAGTTTTTGCAGCTCTCTCTCTCTTTTTACATTGGGTTATTCATTAATATCTTTGCTTGGGTATTTATATGGTCTTAAAATGAGAATTAAAAAAATGCATAAGAGGGTGTTAAATGCTTTTGTTACCGACTCATCTCGATTGTCACTTGCAGGATGCAACCAGCCATACAGAGAGGCTGAGATGAAATGAAGAATTCTGATGTAGTCACAACTATGGGTTTGTTGTTCAGGTACCATTAATTACTGTGTAGTTCTATTATGTACATTTTGAGTTGCTTTTTTGTAGGACCTATTGAAAAAACAAATTGCAATGGATTTCTAACTTTGGCAGCTGCCAATCTATTCACTTTCAGCTTTTAGTTGTGCCCTTCTTAATTAGTCAGTGGCTGGAATGGTTCTTCCTATTTATATGGCAATGTAATTATATTGCAAACTTTCCACCTGCCATGTTATGTTCTGGATTGGTGTTGATTCATGAAAATAGCCTATGATCGGTTTAGCTACCTCAATGATGTTACATGGCTGCTGCATTTGTAATTGTTTTAAGTAAAGATTGGATTTTTCTGGTTGTGAAAATGATCGTTGGATGCTTTGATAGAAATATTTGTTTGATATTACTTGATGAGAGAAATATGGAATTTTGATATTAAAGTAAAAAAGGAATGATGAATAAGTTGCAATTAATACATAATTAGAGGATCCTTGGAGTTTACAATTTTATGGAATGTGGGTTATAAGTGTGTGATGAGCACTTAAAAGGTGTGGAGCCAGAGTTTCGGCCAAGTTTGTCCATTGTTTGACCATCAGTTGTAAATCACATGCTTGCTAGCTTCAATGAGAAACATTGTTCAGAATCAAGCCATCAGTATCCATCATAGGCAAATGCAAGAGCCCTTTCTCATCCTCGGCAGTTAGTTGCTTCCTTTAGTAAGGAAATATTGAGATGGTATAAATAATCAACAACAAGAACATAATTTTCCGTTTATGGTCTTTATTGTTATATGCTCTTTCAGTCTTTCTCCGCATTTGAAAATGCAAGAGCCCTTTCTCATCCTTGGTAGTTAGTTGCTTCCTTTAGTAACGAAATATTGAGATGGTATAAATAATCAAGAACAAGAACATAATTTTCCGTTTGTGCTCTTTACTGTTATATGCTCTTTCAGTCTTTCTCCGCATTTGAAAATGGGAGAAGTCTCTGTTCTTGATGAAGTTTTGTATTTCCTTTCTTAAATATGGTTTATTTGGTGAGGTGAAGCATTTTTTTTTAACCTTATTTTTGTTCATTAGCCTATTATTTAAATTTTGCCAACCTGATGAAGAAACTCATATGTTGATCCTTAATTTTATCGAATGCAAACCATATATTTCTTTTCGATGACTTCTTTTTTATCAATTTGTTTTTCTTTTCATTTTTGGTATGTTTGGATTTTTCATTCGTTGGGTTCTGCAATCTAATCAGATTTTATTTTGGGTTTTCAAGTTCGGTCAAGAGTTAGGATAAGGGAGGAACGTTCACCAGTGTATAATACTGAATGCAGCAGAGGGGATGAGGGCTAGCCACTGGTCTCTGGGTAAGCTTCTTTTTGGATTTTGGTTCTGGGTCTTGCTTTCCTTGATCCGGTTCTGATATGTTTTTGTCTTTAATTTGATTTTAGCAAAGGGAAGAAGAAAAAAAAGTCGCTATAGGCTGTCCCGACGGTTGTCAGCAACGACAACACCAACGTAGCTGGCTGGCAAAGGTAGGAAATGTTCTAGGTGGCTTTTTTATTTTATTTCCTTTTAGTTTTTAATCATATTATGTGTTTTGATATCTTGCTCTTGCTTAATGTTCTTGCTGAGTGTCATCAAATTTATGGTTGTTCAATTTTGTCTTGCTTTGCTTTAGAGTTTACCTATTGATCTCATTCTGGACTTTTAGGGTGCAATTTCGTCCAATATTTTGCTCAATGTGCTTGGTATTTGTTTAAGCTTTTGTTCATTGATGACATCTTCTTTTGCAGTCGATTAGTAGTATGAATTAGATGGTGCTTCTCTTTCAATTGAGTCTGGATTTAAGAAGCGATTGACTGGTGAGGATGCTTTGACGCAGGCATTGGACACCATGACTAACTTATAGCAGTGACTATATTACTGGAGGAATACTCAACATCTTGATCAAGCTGTGACAAGTAATCCTTCAGAGATGATAGTCATTTGTGCATAATCTGAAAGGAGTTTCTTTCTTTCACCAATAGTGGTATGAGGGGAAGCCTCACACAACTGTTATCGGTTCAGACTCTAAAGCGAAGATCCTGCCTAGAAGGTCAAAATCTAGAGGCGTGGACAGGTCACAACACTTCCAAAGAGATTTCAAGCTTCATGCCGAGGTAACCAACAATTCTTGGTCACAATCTCAATACAAAATTTACTGCAATTAGTAGATTTAATTGATCTATAGATGTACCATCTTTGCGTTGCTTTGTAATTAACAAAATGTGTAGGATTACATTTAGATAGTGGTGGAAGGCTGATTGTTACATCTTTACTGCCAATGAACTTGCAAATCATAACATTGGTATAGTGAGAGCTTTATGTATAGAGCAAATCTAGAATTGTTTGACATATGAAATTTTGCTGTAAACATTACGTTCTTTTACCGCTTTGCACATTCAACCTAGATCCTTTTTCCTGTGTCCATGCTTTAACTGTTTAATTGCTCAGTGATTCACAGGTTTAGCTTACTCAGTTTGGGTGCTTACCTTCTAAACAACACATTTCGAAAGTCTTCACCCATTGGTTCCAACTTAATCTTTTTTTTACAAGGTACTTCCTTGCAATAGTTGTTTAGATATGATTGGATTCATTTTGAAACTTCTTAGCATTGAGGTTTTGATTGCTTTTCAAACAGATAAGCAATACAAGTTTGGGTTTCAGCAAAGAAGGAAACCATAACAGACAAATCATGTTATTGGGATCGAGGTGAAGACCTGCAACTGGTGCTTTTTGACCTTCTATAGCACCTTCCAGGAATTTTTATGGCTTTAGTCTCACACTCCAAAGACTTTAAGACTCCGAAACCCAGCTCAAGGTAACCAGAGTTTACACTTTGACTTCGTTATTCCGTTCCCATTTTGGTTTTAAGATTGACCATGTAACTTAGCCTTTTTTTGCCCTTTCTCAAACCTTTTACAGAGATTAAAGATGACTAATGTTTTATCTAATTTCATCCATAATCTGTTGTAGTTAGTATTACAGTAAAAAAACTGAAAGGTCAAATCTTGCTCGATACATTAGTCTGCTGGCCATCACTGTTTGCAAGTTTTGTTGCCTTTATGTTTGCTGTTGTAAGCTCCATTGTATGAGCCTTCCTAGAAATCTATTTAGGTTTGTAGACAGATGTACGAATGTTGGAGAATTCAGTTGGACATGAATAGTGTGGTAATCTATAGCACTATCAGTGTGATTTTATCGAGATTCGTTCGTTTTGATGTGTCAGTTGGGTTCTTATGAGTGTCGATATTCCTCATTACAACATGTTCTACAAGATGAAGGTTGAGCTCTTGGAACAACTTTAGTTACCACATATCTAATGCTCATATTATGTTGTTAGAACAAGGATTGAACTCACTATTCCGATCATGCCTGCAATTCGGTAATAATACAAGATGAACAATAGCTTTACTAACCATATATCTATTACTCATATTATGCTTTTAGAATAAGGATTGAGCTCACTAATCCAATCATGCCTACAACTCAGGATTAATACAAGTACATATGTTTTGCCATCATGTCTTGGTTAAGGAAAACTTCAGCAGGTTGGTGTCATTCACTGACATTATAGATTTATGCAAAGAGGTAAGGGCTATAGCCTACATATATTTTTGCCTCGGGACCTCTCAGTTTGACTAATTAATTTCCTTTTACTTCATGTCATGTTCCAGCAGTCTTCTTACAACCTCTGTATGTGTGGTTGGTTTAATCCTCACTGCAATCCTACAGCCACGTAAAGAAGGTTGAGCTCTTGGAGTTTCAAGGGAAGGTGGATTAGGAAAAGACACTAGAATTATGAAGTCTCTTCAATTCAGTAGGAAAGGTTAGGTCAGCCGCTATAGGGCTTCATAATCTTGATTTGTCTTGCTTTCATTTAAACCGGTCATGTATCAATGCTGAACTTAGTCAAAATTTAAGAGCCTGACTTTCATTTGAATGCCAGTTAGCACACTCATTGTTCCATTGTGTTAATTGGATACTCTTTTATGTCTGTAGCAGTCACTTATTTTATTTTGCTTCGAGTTTTTATAGTTCAGTAATTCTCAATATAGCCATTTACCAAACATTTTTTGTGCCATCAAACAATCCGTTTAAATCATTCAAACAGTCCCGATATCAACACTTCGAAAAACAACCCGCCGCGAAGCGCGGGCTTCTTACCTAGTATTATTAAAAAGGGAAAAGAAAATAGAATAAAAGTCGAGTTTACCAACAAAAGAGAGTATGTTGCCATTTATTATTTTCATCCGCCAAGACCTCGACATGTCTTAGAATGTGCTGCTCAAAATTCCGTAGTGGTAAGGGGAAAACAAATAGTTACAACCTATGCACTAAACGTAGGAAGGACATAATCTGATTTTAAGCCCAGGAATCAGTGGCGTCCCAACTTCTCGACCAGCCGCTTCTCGATCTCCATTCTCTTCTTCATCATCACGCCATACTTCGATGCCACCTCGTCACTCCCAGCGCTAGCCGACAGCTTGCAGCTCAGTGACGATTTCTCCAACTTGTCGCTGTACAAGTTTGCTATCGGCACAAAACTACCATTCTTGTTGCAGATCCAGCCATGCGCAGCTCTCAATGCAGCTCCTAGAGACGCAGAATCTGTAACCATGCAGAAAAACTAGTTACATCTCTAAACCTCTCTCCCCATTCAATGGCAGCTGCTTGTGCTTGAAGAATGTAATTAAATGCGCAGATTAAAAATTGCATACCAGGTCTTTGGACAGTGTAGACTCCACAGCCAAATACCGATGCTATCGACTTCAGCAGGCTTTGGTTTGTTGATGCTCCACCTGTAGCGATTATGCGCTTTGGAGGTACTGGCATCCCAAACCTCTCAGCATGGCCTCTCATCGATAGGAACTGGCCCTCCACTATTGCTCTCACCTGAAATTCAGAGTTGTTTTGAACAAAAGAGGATGTAAGTTCGAGTTAAGATGGTGTAAAAGAAACATGTCGGACCGGGATTCAGGAAGGGCCACTAACCTCTGAAGGAGGATCAAATTCTTTCACTTCCTGTTCACTCACCCCTTCCAGGGAGGCACCATTGAAATTTTGGAGAATGTAGCGATGGAAACCAACTGCAACAAATGTTTTTCATCAATTTAAAGGAGATTGATGATAAGAATGTGTGAAGCAGCAATTTTTTAGAGAAAGTATGCTGCAGCTGAGACGCAGAGGGGGAAAAGATATCACTAATAAGGACTCACTTGGAAGTGGAGGAAGAATTTCATGGTCCTTGTAGTAGAAACCCAACTTCCCACCTGTTGTTTGTTTTCCAGGAGAAGAATTGGTCAGGAAATGTAAAAGAAGACTAAGAAGAAAAGTCGTACATAGAGCATGTACAAACCATTAAGAGGCGGTGTTTGCTCCAAGAGTTTGTTGAAGGTCTCCCAAGAGCTCTGCGCACAACTGTTGCGCACCTCTAAATCGAAGACCAGTTCAAGTTAGTGGAGGGATTAGATGGTGGTATACGTTGAATACATACCAAGTTACATTAGTGCATACCTTCACGAGTTAGAGACCCATTTTTGTAGCATAACATTACCATGTAGCCTTTCGTATCTACTGGATTAGGGAAGACGTGACCTTCCAACCCAGGTTTAGGATCACTGGATATACCGATAACCTGCAATGTCCAATTCCATTTAATGCTACATATCAGCACAAGTGTGTGTCAAACAAATGGGCAACTGTATGAGAGTGTATTTGCTCTTGAACTCACAGTGTCGCTGGTGCCAAGACTAATACCCAGATCCCCAGGAACACTCAAGGTTAAACCTGCACAAGTTAGAGGTACCATCAGTTATATTAGACAGATGGAAAATGGAAAGAGTACAAGAAATGATTCACAGACTAAAATCAGATTTCAGAATCTGATAACAAATGCAACTCAATCTGTGAGTATTCGAATGTGCAAACTGTTCTAGATCATTAACCAGGCAATGCCAACTGTTCCATCCACTATGATCAAAGACAAGGACTCACCAGCTAAACTGTTAGGGTTGTCTCCAGACCAGTGCACAACCAAACAATCCTTACTGAACTTATACCTGTGCATGGAAGAGGACAATGCTCACTAATTTTGCAACAAACCACACGAACATCATTAAACAAACTTCAATTAGAAACAGAGATGCTGCCCATTCAGTTATCTTGAAATGCCAGACCATTCCTTTTCGAGTCCAACCATCAGTTGCACAACGTAGCTAATGCAGTAGTGATCAACAGATAATAAAAAACCACAAATCCTACACCAACCTCTCGACGAAATAAGAAGCAATAGGACCAACAACAGCATAAGCAGGAGCCAAAGCCCCGAGCTTTTCCTCTAAACCCGGCGCAGTTGCCTGTGAACATTCAACAACGCACTTTCAACAAAAATGCAATCAACCCACAACGAAAGCAGATAACTTGTTACAAAAGCAAGGAAAAATCCAAACCTCCAAAGCCACTTTAGACCAGGTCTTTTTCTCAATATCCATCAAATTCATCCCAGCACCATCAGCATGATCAATGGAAGCATACTTCCCAGCAAAAATAGAAGCCATGAACGAGCTAACAAGTGAAATCCTCTCAGTGCTGTTATAAACATCAGGTTGCTTCTGAAATATCTTCTTGATCTGAGGTCCAGTGAACCTCTCATACCCACGAGACCCAGTGATCCGAGCCAGCTCAATCGCTCCACCAACAGCTTGCTCAATTTCCCTACATTGAGCCGTGGTGCTGCTGTCCATCCATATAGGCGATTCACTGATTGAAAACGCATTGCGGAATTGATCCAACAACGGCTTGTTAGAGTCCAGCGAGGAGAGCAGCGAAGAGCTGCCGTTCTTCCAGTAAACGCTGCCGTGTTGCTGTCCGCTGCCGGAGAGAGCAGCAACTTTCCCGAAATCCAAACCGGATTTGGAGAGGCGTTGGAGGACGAGATCGAGAGCTTCGATCCACATTAGCGTAGGGGAAACGATTCTGCCGCTGTCGGACGGGTCTCTGTAGACGCCATCTTTGGTCTTGTAATGGGGCAAATCGGAATCGAAATGGATTTGATCCAATTGAATCACATTAAGATTGCAGTCCAGTACCGTCGCCTTCAACGACCTTTTCATCAGAATTTACCCGATCAGCCATTTTTCATCGATGGAGTAAAATTGAGCTTAAAGATTCAAACTTTAGGCAGTAATCAAGGAGCCCATTAATCAGTGAGTTCAGGAATTGAAGAAGAGAAGAAAAGGAACTTACTGGGTGGAGGAGTCGAATCCGAGGAAAAGGGAGCCGGGAGGAAGGGCCGCCATTGAATCAGAGCTCGGAGATAATCTGAGAGCGATCCTGGTCGGGGTGAATATAGAAACACTCTGGCGAAAACGGAGGAAGAGAGGAGATTGGGAAGCAGCAGAGAGAATCGGGGTTCTGAGAAGCTATTATGGGAAGAATTAATAACGCTCGACCTGCTCATTGTGGGATTTGAAATTTCGGATAAGAACGAGGACGTTTTGGATTTGCAGCAGGGACAGAAATAGTAAGGATTTTCTTGGTTTAGGAAGTTTATCCGAAGAGAGAAAGAAGATATTGAGTTTTGGTTGATGCTGACGAAGAATGAAATAAAACTCCATGTTGTTGTAGGATATTGCCTAGAATCTGGATGGATAATTGGATACACGTAGGAGCACGGCCAAATCGCATCTGGTTTATAAAACAAGATTTGATTATTAGCAAGTAGTAGATTGAATTGAACCAAAACTAATCGCCGTGCAATCTGAAATTGAACTAACCACGGGCTCCGAGAAACACGAGTAAGAGCTTTTCCTTATCCAAATCAGTTAGCTAGCTGGTTGGGTACTTGGGTTGGTTGGTTGATGAACAAACAAGAGCATGGCCATTGGCAATGGGTAGGGTCGGGTGCGGGTTTATCCTCTACCAAATCCTAACCCACCGGGTAGAGCCTTTTAAAATACCCGACTAAATAACTACCGGGTATAAAAATTATATAACCATACCCTACCCATCGGGTAACCACGGGCATTCGGGTAACCATGGGTACGAATCCTAAACTATGAACTTATACACATATATGCACGTACATACTGTTGTCCATTAAAAATTCTCAATACTTGTAACTGTTCTAGCTTCAACAATCCACACAAATAAAAATAGCAAAGACATAATAATTGTTCTTGCTTCTACAATCCACACAAACATAATAATCGTCTACATCTTCATCATCAATAATGGTAGCTAAACTCAATTTCTCAAGCTAATCTAAATTTTCCAAGGGAAATTGACCCTTTGGTTAGCGGGGCGGGTATAACGGGGCGGGTCGATTACCATACCCGTACCCTACCCTTTATTTTGAAACCGGTATTACCCGTACCCGCCCTTTAACCCGTCAAAGCGGGTAATTACCCTCGTTGACCGGTTACGATCGGGTAGGGTACCCATGGGTACGGGTTGGATTGACATCCCTAATGACCACTCTCGAGTCCAAGACTCCAAGGGTATGTTTACCAATATTATAGAGGGCATGGGATTGAGTCAGTAACCACTGGTTACTGACCTATTAGTAACTGCACGCACACCGTAGATCTAGGGGGCGGATCCATCGTATGGCTGGGCTGAATGCGGGGTCCAGAAGGGCATTTTGTTCGTTAATAAATTTTAATTTTTATTATATTTCGATTTTAATGACTGTCTTTTCTAAAAAGGAGACCACTTTTAATGGTTGCCTTTTCAAATGAGGAGAGAGAATAATTTCTCTGCAACTCTCCTTTCTCTCTTAATTTTCTCTCTCTCAATCTTCTTTTCAGATTCTTTCTCTTTCTCTCTTCCTTTTCTCTCTCCCAATCACCTTCTCCATATCTAGATTTGCTTCCTTCTCTTCTTTTTTGTTTTCTTCTCTTCATCAACTCGCTGGCCTCAATTTTGGTCTTTCTTCTTTTTTTGGCGTTTGGTGTTCTTGATTGCTGAGGAAATGAGACGAGATAGAAGACGAGTTTTTTCCCTCTCCCTCCTGTTTTTTTTCTTTTAGGTAATATATATTGATATTAACATACTATATCATACGTTATTGTGTGGTAACGAAATATATATTGATATTACCACACTATACCATATGGTATTGTGTGGTAACGAAATATATATTGATATTACCGCACTATACCATATGGTATTGTATGGTATTGTGTGATATTACCACACTATACCATATGGTATTATGTGGTAACGAAATATATATTGATATTACCACACTATACCATATGGTATTGGGTGACAATGCAGTTTAAAGCGTGATTCTACCTAGAAGCGAAAAACGGGTAAAATTGTAAAACGTAGAATCAAAGCGTAAAAAAGCGTAAGTTTTTGACGCACCCTCTAAAATAGCTAAAATATGTTAAATACAACATATAGTATGTAAAATGTGAGTGTGTAGATTTTTGATAAGTGAATAACTACATGAAATTCATAATTAAAACGTAATATCTAACACATAAACTAATTTGTGTTGACTCAAACGTAGAGAAAACTCATAATATCTTAACAATAAGCTCATAAATGTAGATCGTAACCCGTAAATGAGCTCGAGAATCCAAATTCTCATAAACTAGTTTGAGTTTACATAATTACATACGATCAATTACCCATAAACTTTTATTGTAACCCAGGTAAGAGCCACATGTGAAGATTAAGGGAGAAGACTGATTGAAGGCCAACGGCTGTTGAGAATACCATTAGGTGTATTTTCAACCTAATGTGAAGCCCCTATCTCGACACTAGTTGTAGAACGAGTGATGAATCGAGCACTTCTACTATGCTATATAGCATTGGTGCTTTAATGTACAACTCAAAGTTGTACCATAACATTAAATGTATAAGTTTAGGTTGTACCATAAAGCAATTTGTACCATTATGTTATAATACAACTTTACAACTTGAAATTGTACCATCACATAAAGGTACAAGTTCAAGTTGTACCATAAAAGAATTTGTACAAAAAGTATAGGTACAATCTAAAGTTGTACCATAACGTAAATGTACAATTTTAAGTTATACCATAAAGGCAAAAACCTATAGCACCAATAGTATATAGCATTGTAAAATTTCTCGTGATGAATCATGTTTTCCTTTTTCATTTTTTGCTGATATGTCTCCAAAATTACATCATTTTGGGCCAATTAGCACATTTTTATGAGATGATCAAAATCGTATAAAAACGTTTCAGAATCGCGATTTTACCGATTTTACCCATGTTTTTATCAGTTTTTGTGACTAAGCGACTTTAGGTAGAAACTGAAACGTTTTGGTGGCATGGATACGTAAAAACGTAAGTTTTTATATTTTAATGCACGATTTTGACTGCACTGTTGGGTTGTAATGAAATATATATTGATATTACCACACTATACCATATGGTATTGGGTGGTAACGAAATATATATTGATGTGACAATTTTTTTCATACCATATGATATGCTCTTATTTAATACCAATCAATACCATATGGTACAGTCAATACCATATGGTATAGACTGGTAATAACTGGAAAAAAATTTTGTATCAAAAAAATATCAAAATGGATATCATTTTGAAGAGCATAATTAATTTGATCTAACTGTGCAAAAAAAAAAATTAATTCCGAATTAAAACAAGTGAGAAGTCGCACGTTAAAGATTAAGTGAAGGAAAATTAAATGTTTTTCGATGAGAGAGAAGGAGACGCTGATGTGGTCCGGTCAAAAGATAGCGTCAACAATAAATAGGGGTAAGTGCAATTTTACCTCACTGCCCTTTCGCATTTAATTTAAATAAAAAAAAGGGAACTGACACGTGGGGACAGGAGAAGGGGTTACTGATGGGTTACTGATCCATCAGTTACTGACCTAATCTGCTCCCATTATAGAGAGCCCATAAAAAAATGGTAGCCCATTTCTTGATTGGCTGCAAGAAATCAAAATGTGGTAAGGCCTCATGTCCACGAAGGAACTTGTCGCCAGCGGCGCCTGCAGCGTATCCAGTACTGGGTCACATTTTAAAAAGAGGTAGAGTGGGTTGGGCCATAACTTGATGAACACTTAAACGAATATCGAAAATAAAAAATAATAAATTTACAAGTGTTATACCATCTTTGATCTAGAGGAGGGCTGGGCCGCGGCCCGGGGTCGGCCCCCTTGATCCGCCACTGCTTGTCACACCCAGTAAGTACTTTTTTTGTTGGAAATTCCCAATACGCCCCAATCAATTGTTGAGAGAGACTCTTTAACCTAGAGGCAGCCCTACAACTAGATCATCTTCAATGCCAGTTTTTTTATACAAAAAATCCATTGCATTACTGAGGAATTACCAGTTACATCGACTTTGCACCTGCCGGTAGGAATGGCAATGGGGCAGGTTCGGGCCGGGTATCTCGATACCCATACCCGCCCCGCGACAGGTCGGGTCCAAGTCGAGTAATTTATTATGGGACGCGGGTCGGGGCAGGTCGACCCAATGGGTATATAATTTATGTGAAAAACATTAGAAATATTCGTTATTTTCATTAAAAGACTAAGAAAGAAACCATAATATGATAAAATGTAGTTAAATTATTAGAGAAATTGAAGTTTTCACTTATTTACAACTTTAGTATAGCTAAAATTTGAGGTATTAAGAGGAAAGTATTAAATAATTTGACTAAGATTACATGTAATTTAGGGGAGAACGGGTCGCGAATGGGGCGGGTCAGGGCAGGTTGGGTGGATGAGAGGTACTCATGCCCGCCTCGTCCCGCTTACATGGCGGGTCGTACTCGCCCCAAAACAGGTCAAACAGATCGGGTAAAACAGGTCAGGTCGAAATTGCCATCCATACCTGCCGGAATCAAACACAAAAATCAAAACCAGTACAACTAATTGAAAACAATGAAAGGGTCTCTTAGGGCTAAATTAAACGTTTGGTCACTCAAATTACATAAATCTTTCACATTTGCCACCCAAATTACTTTTCTTTTTTATTTGCCACTAACTTAATGAACCGTTTCACTGTTAGCACCGACTGTTAGTCTTCGTTAACTCTGTCAGTTAATTGAAGACGTGGCAAACGGAATTGATGACTGGACCATTAACTTAATAACATGTTAATTAAAAATAAAAAAAATAAAAATAATTAACACTTGGCCTGCACCCCACCGTGAATTTCCTCCGCTGATCACCACTGGTCGGCGGTTGGCAAATGCCGCCCTCTTCCGCTGGGAGGTTTGAAATCCGTCGGAGGCTGTCTCCGGAAAGGATTGCTAATTACGGTGGTGGGTATTTGTGAGGTGGCGACAGAGGCAGTCTCGAATTATTTCTCTGTCGCCTCGCCTGCGGCTGCTGCTAAATGCAATCCACTGTGAATTAGCGAGAGGGGGATGGATACGACGCCTTGAAACTGTTCGATGAGGTGATTACCGGCCGAAGCCTGAGGAATATGACCGAAGACCTTTCCCCGTTTCATTTCTACGTCAATCCACTTGGCAATACCTTCATAGATGTCTTCGTCGGCGACGGGGAATTCATCGATCTGGCGCCGTACTTCCACTTCTTCCTCCTATTACTTCCGAACCTTTCTAGTTTCAAGCAATGAGGGCCAAGAGAGGGAACCTCTCCGAGATGGGTTTTCACTATCACTTGCTCTATGATCTTGGGATCAATGGGGTTTCAAGAATTGTGGGTTAATGGGTGATTTTAATTTCGTGCTGGTATTTCGGCCTTCCCTCGCGATGACGAAATGGCTGAACATTAAACCCAAGGCTTATGATTTCAGCGATGATGAATTCACAGAGAATGAGAGTGAAGATGGTACATATGTATGTATATTTGCTCTTTTTACCCTGCCTTCATCTGTCCTTTCAATGTTATTGTGCCTTGCAGGTGTTTGATTAAATGCTTATGCGAAAACGTTTTCTTAGCTGGACCACAACTTGCTCGCTTAAGGAGAAAGTATTAATGTCGGGGAAGTAAAGACGCAATTGGGATCCAAAACCACAGATCTGGAATCGGAAAAGAGAGAATTGGAGAAGTGTCGCAAGTGGTCATAGCCCATTCAATCTAATATATCCAATTGAAAAGAAAGCGCATTCGAGTTCAATTTACTACCTTGATAGTGAAGTCGTAGATGGACCAGTGAGAGTCAGAATTGCTGACATAGCGCGATCGAATCTCAGAGAAATAGTAGTAGAAGAAGAAAATGACAGCGACGGAGGATTCATATTAGTGATGGCAACAAAACCCGAACCCACGGGTACCCATCCAACCCAATCCGGTAAACGCGGGTAAAATCCGCGTTGACGGGTTTTGGGCCGGGTTTGGGTTTAAACCCGTTCACTATTCACTGGGTTGGGTTGGGTTTGGGTTTAGGTAAACCCGACCCATGGGTACCCGCCTACACCCATATAATTAATTTTTGGTATATTTAATATTCTAAACAACTAATCTTACTTATGTATGTGGAGATATGTCTAATTTTTTCTTTCTAATTGTGTAGAATGAAGTTGATGTTATCTAGTGAGAGTGAAGAAACTTAATTGAAAGGAATAAGCTTTCAATTAATCATGTTATTTATGGATAATTTGTGATTTGCTTCAATTTTCTTGAGTTTTCTAGATTAGTGTTGAACAATTTGTATAGTTTATTTGTGATTTGCTTGAATTTTCTAGAATTGTGTTTTAAATATGAATAATTTGTATTGAGAGATTGATATTTAACTTTAATTTTGATAGGAACTTGTTATTGTAAATTTTTTACGACAAAAACCCGTGGCTACCCATAAACCCGCGGATACCCAGCGGGTTGGGTTGGATTTGAGTTTTTCAAACCCAGTGGGTTTTACCCCGAATTTTTTTCACGGATAAACCCATGGGTTTGGGTTTGGCAAAACCCGACCCAACCCGACCCATTGCCATCCCTAATTCATATGACGGTGCTGGGTGATGCGGGAAACGGGAAACAACCGGCGACGAACCCAACGAAGAAGAAAACGAGTGGCGAGAAGTATTTCTTTGACGCCTCACCACCCCACAAATACCTACCACCGTAATTGGCAATCCCTTCTGGGAACAGCCTCCGACGGATTTTGAACCTCCCAGCAAAAGAGGATGGCAGTTTGCCAACCGTCGGTGGTGATCAGCGAAGGAAATTCATGGTGGGTTGCAGGCCACATGTTAATTATTTTTATTTTTTAATTAACACGTCATTAAGTTAATGGTCCAGTCATTAGTTCCGTTTGCCAGGTCAATTAACTTACGGAGTTAATGGAGACTAGTGACTAATGGTGAAACTATTCGTTAAGTTAGTGGCGAATAAGAAAGAAAAGTAATTCAGGTGACAAATGTGAAAGATTTATGTAATTTGAGTGACAAAACGTGTAATTTTAGCCATCTTTTTAGTCATTAAGTGGGCTATCCTATTGTTTTGCCTGCCAACAAATCGTAAGAATCCAAGAGGAGTCGACCCCAGTAGTCTGCCAATTTCTTCGAGAATCACGCCCCCTCTATAGTCCAAGTAGTTTCCCGCATTGATCTTATCAATGATAACTTTCACATAGGGCTGGCTATTTGGTCCCGGACTGTTTGGTTTTACCCGAAACCGGACCGTATAACCCGGACCGGCACCGGACTGGGACCGGATAGCAAACAATCCAATCTCATATTCGGGCTTAGATTTGAGGTAAAAAAATCCGGATAAAGACCGGATAAGAGACCCCCAACACCTAAAATCAAGATCAAATTGGGATCGGACCGGGTCAAGACCGGACCGAATCAAGACCGGACTGTATCCAATCCAATCTTTGGTCATTATATTCCCGAAAAGACCGGACTGGAACTGGATCAATTTGGTCCAATTTAACCGGACCGGACCGTATAGCCACCCCTACTTTCACATCACCTTCACACCTCAATTGGAAAAAACCCGACTGGCTACACAACCAAACTGCTTCTCAATATGTCATTAGCTCAGCAAGCGTGGGATCAACCAGACCCTCAAACACGACTCCCTTTACAATGACCATGTCTAGTTCCAAAAGTAAAAAAATTGAAAAAGCTCTTCTTCTATAGGAGTTAAAAAAATGTCAAAAAAAAAAAAAAGACCACTGCATGTTGGGCACCAAATTTGTTCCGCTAAGTGACCAGGAGTTCGGATGATTGTGATACACTGAAAGGGGCGGTGTGCCGCAAGTGCAAGATGGAGCCAACTTTTTTTCGAACGGTCTTTTCAGTTCTAAATAACTTTCTTTTGGAATCATTAAATTGACGAGAAATACTTTTATAATAAAATATCATTGCATTTATCGGACGTTTGTAAAATTTCAGCATACAATCCATGCGAAGGGATAGTGAGATGAGTATACTCACTGCTCACATATGCCCCATCAACATTTTAGCAAAATCCCAAGTAATAGATAGTTAGTCATGGAAAAAACTTGTAATACTAAACCAAGAATGTCCCACTGTCCACCGACCTCAATTTGCTTTGAGAGGGAAATTGGGAGATTGATAATAGGTCTCGATAGCATAAGTGCGTGATTCTCTTCTATAGAGCTTCCGCCTCTAGATTGGATCGGCCCACTCGGTTGGGGGCCCATGATGAGTTGTTTGTCAATTTGTACACAACCATAACGTGCCATTGTTGATAAGAGCTATATAGCTCGCTAGCTCGCTGACACAATTTCTATCACGAGGACGAGGCAATTTTGAAGTTTTAAGTTTTAACGTAGCTTCAGCCGACTGCGACCATGACAATAAACAATATAAGTAATGCTATTTGTCATCTTCGATTCTGTTATGTGTATACATTAACATTTTGATCACCTTCTATATACGTACTACGACTGTAAATTCATAAGCTTTTATTTCAAGGTATCTCATCTCATTGTAGGCTGACTTTCATTGAAGTTGTTTGCTAGTTCGTTCTAAAAAAGGATATAAAGAGATGAGATCTCAAACGTGGTCCGATGCGTGCAATAAAAGAGCTACTATTTTACAGGTATACTATTTTATCTTGAAATATTTAAAAAATTTACGAGATTGATGATTCTAATGTGATTATCCAATATAAAATATTGGCTTATTATATATGATTCACGCTGGTATGTGAATGTATTAATATTATTTGCCCTCGTCTACCAAAAGAATAATTGCCAGTTAAACTAGTCAAGGAAAAAAAAAAAGCAAGATGTGAAGTAAACAATGTCGGCTGCATAGTGCATATGAAGAAGGGAGGTATGGGGAGAAAGACCATGGAAATGGAGGGTCTAATGGTCAACCGAAAGTCACCAAAACCAGCCAGGTTCGGTTACGTGTTAAGTGGACAATCTGCTTTGTTGGACTATCTGTATTATCATATATAAATCCGGGACACATGTAAGAGCCCCAAACGCCTAAAGAAATATTTAGTGGAACACAGATCACAACACATATGTAGTCAGATCATGGTGTGTGTGATTGTGAATCTCAATCCAATCATTCAGGGGAGCTGTCATTATTATGGGAGTGTTTCTTTCTGGTTATTTTAATAAATTGTGTGATAATTTTTTGGTAAGGATAAATTGTAACATCCCGAACATTTTCTCGATAATTTTTTGACAAAGATATTGTCCGTTTTGGGACTCCACATTGAACACGTTTAACTTCGGAGTTCTCACAAGAACTCCTCCGTTTCACCCCAAAACGCATCTTGTCAGTTAAGGTCGGTTTCTTACTTATGAACTATGAATATCTCTCGTGCTTTGTCGATGTAGAATTTGCCTCACGTGTTACATAAATTGTGTGATATGAAATCACAAAACTGAAAGGAAAAGAAAAAAAATGTTGCCAAGCGCTACACTACTGTTTATGAACTCATTGGTTTTTGTTTTTTTGGCTTAAAAAGAAAATTTTGCCTCCTTAACCACCAAATAATTATGGTTGGTGACATTAGCTAATGCTCGATAATGTGGTCACGAATGCGCTACATTTCGTATAATTATTTATTTTCAATGGAAATTACCTAGCATCGTGATTCAGACAACAATACTATTATAGAAATTATCATGCACACTAATTCACCATTTATACAAACTCCCTATGAAACTTTTTTTTTGGTAGCAAACGGAGCGCTAAGGGGCGCCCCAACCCTTAATTAATGATCGAACGAGGGGTTTGAACCCCAATAGTATCGTAGTACAACCAATAACCCAGGATCGGGTCAGGAACATCAACCACATGTAAACCGACAGGGAGAGCATGACCCCGGGAAGCCAGAAAATCGGCTACAAAGTTACCCTCCCGAAAAACATGATCGATAGTAACCTCCCACTCTAGGGATAGGGACCGTCGGATGGACTTCACAAGCATACGGTGAGGATGGCTCGAAGGGTCTTCCTGAATTAAAGAGATAGCTGTCGCCGAATCAGTCTGAACTGCAAGCTTCCTGATCCCCATCTCCCAGGCGAGACGCAGGCCTTGTTCAATGCCGGCAAGTTCTGCATGGGTGATCGAACCGCCGCCCAAATTCACCGAGAAAGCCTGCAGCATCCGTCCATCTTCTCTTCTTATTACTCCTCCTACAGCAGCTTTATTCTGGGATAGGAGCACGGAACCATCGGTGTTTAGGCTAGCCCAACCAGACGGCGGGCGCTTCCAGCTGATTAGTTGAGTACACCTCTTGCTCTCACCTCCTGTGACATTTTGCGACGCTTTAAAAGCCAATGAGACTTGATTACAAAGCTGTCTTATCCGACCAGCCAGCTGCATGGGCACCGCCAAGCTCTTCTCAAAAACCCAAGTATTCCGGTTCTGCCAAAGTTGCCAGCAAACCAGCGCGAAGGTTGAGGCATCAACAACGGGGCTTCGGTCCATCAAGTAGTGGAATCCCCAGCGGGGAATGTCCGTCTGGAAGAAGACCCGATCGGGCTCATCTGCTAGGAAATACGACCATACATCCCGAGCATATGCACAGTCACGCATAACGTGGATTGAAGTCTCCGGCCCTCCTCCACATATAGTGCACTGATCCATGGTCGCCAGATGTCGTCGGAACCTCTCTGCATTTGTAAGCAACCGGTCATGCAGAACCAGCCAGAATAGAGTCTTCGTTCTCTACGGCCCCGGGATTCTCCAGACAGCCTTCCAAGTCGGATTATGGTGAACCTCATCCCCATCTTCCCTCGTGAGATCATATGCCGTCCTCAACGTGAACTTACCAGACTGAGACAGCCTCCACAGGGGGATATCCGAGCCCTCCTCGAAAGGTACCGGGTGGAGCTGTAACTGTGCGGTCATCGGTTCAGGGAGGAAGGCGCGCACAAAGTCCAAATTCCATTGGCCATTCAGAACCATCTCTGCTACTGTCAAGTCTCTAGCTTCTGCCGGGAGGTTTACAGCAAAATTCTCAAGCGGCGGACCATCCTGCAACCACACATCGGACCAAAATCGGGTTTGCATACCACTTCTAATGTTCCAAATGGTACCCTCCGACACATAGTGAAGCACACGCAAAACACCTCTCCAGAGGTTGGATAAGCGGCCGGATACTCGTGGTTGCCAACTTCTCTCCGTTTCCCGGACATACTTTCCCCGAACAACTCTTGCCCATAAACTTTCCGGCTCAGTGAGAAGGCGCCAAGCTATTTTATCATGAAGGCGTCATTCATCCTGGACGCAGTGCGTAGTCCCAGACCTCCTTCTTCCTTCGGCTTGCAGATAGTGTCCCAGTCAACAAGGTGTATCTTCCTGCCTTGCTCCGAACTTCCCCAGATGAATCCCCTTATCTTCCGATCAATGTATTCTCGAAATGACGCGGGAAGGAGCGCCGTTTGCATTGTATAAGCCGGCAGGGAAGAGAGCACAGACTGAGCTAGAGTAATCCGTGCCGCCATAGAGAGAGCCTTCACTTTCCACCCAGCTAGGCGAGAATCGATCCTGTCAATGAGCTCTGTGTCGGTGGCTTTAGAAACCTTGTCGTGAATCACAGGGACTCCCAAATACCGTCCCAAGTTTTTGGTTTCCAGAATATCCAGGGCTCGGCTGATCTCCACTCCGACCGGGGCGGCAACATTCTTCGAAAAGTAAACCCGGGACTTCGGCCGGCTCACTTGCTGCCCCGAGGCTGCTCCAAACTCTTCCAGGCACTGCAAAATCACCTGAACTTGTTCCTGCGACGCCACACTGAAAAGGATTAAGTCATCAGCGAAAAAGAGGTGGGAAAGCTTCGGACCTGGGTTAGAAAGTCGGATCGGCTTCCATCGCCCCTCCTCCACCGCCGCAGAAATCAGGTGGCCCAATCTCTCCATGCATAAGGTGAACAGGTAGGGAGAGAGTGGGCAGCCCTGTCGGAGTCCTCTAGATGGTGTAAAGGCCTCCGTGATACCCCCATTCCACTGAATCTGCATGGTCGCCGACGTAATACAGCTCATCGTTAAATCAATAAACTGCTGAGGAGCTCCCGCTGCAAGAAGGGTATCTTTGACAAAGCTCCATTTGATGCGATCATAAGCCTTGGCAAGGTCGATTTTAAGAACCATCCAACCAACCTTACCCGACTTAGCTCGCATCGAATGGACCACCTCCTGCAAAACACAAATATTGTCAGTAATATGTCTCCTAGGGACGAAGCTCGTCTGCGTCTCATGCACCAGTTCAGGCATTAACGGCTTGAGTCGTTCAGCTAGACACTTCGTGATCATCTTGTAGCTCACATTACATAAGCTAATGGGGCGAAATTGTTAAATCTGAGAAGGCCGAGCCGTCTTTGGTATCAATGCCAAAATGGTCACATTCACTTCCTTGATATGGGAGGGTTGATCCCAGCAAGCCTGAACAAAATCCACAACCGCCGAACCCACAAGATCCCAACATCGATGATAAAATAGAGGATTCAGCCCGTCTTTACCCGGTGCTTTCAATGGGATAAAGGTGCGGACAGCGGCAGCCAGAGAGAAGCCTGCAGCTGTTTGAAGGCTGCCGGGATTGAAGTAGTCGGCTGGCCATCATCAATGTATAGGTCGGTGAAGAAAAGCCGAGCTAGCTCCAGCAAGGCCTGCTGGTCCTCAACCCATTCACCCGCACCATTCTTCAGGGCTGTGATCCGATTCCTCCGTCTTCTGTTGATGGTACGGTTGTGAAAATTTTTGGTGTTGCGATCTCCTAGAGCCACCCATTCTAGATTCGATTTTTGGCACCATAAGAGTTCTTCTTGGAGCAAGACAGTTTCGAGCTCTTCTCGAGTTTGCTTCAGGCGTTCCTCCGCCAATTGGTTACCAACCTTACTTTCTAAGAGCTCAATACGAGTCAACAGGGAGTTTTTCTTCTTAATAATATGTCCAAAAACCGACCTATTCCATGAGCTTGCATCTTCCACAAATGCTGCCGCAGAGGAAGCAAAATCAGTACCTCGGTCCCATGCCTGCTTGGCCATGTCGAAGAATCCCTCATGTGTTAACCAAGCCGCAAGGAACTTGAAGGGTTTGGGTCCCGCCGGTTGATAGGTCGGGTTGAGTCTGATAAGCAGCGGTCGGTGATCACTCTTAATTCGAGGTAGATGATGGACGGTGGTATTCGGGAACTCAGTTGCCCACATAGCATTTGTAAGGCCCCTATCCAGCCGTTCCATAACCCCCGTCTTAAACCAGGTGAACGGTGGCCCCGTAAACCCCAGATCCACTAGCCCCGCATCCAAAACACAGTCCTGAAACTCTCGGGCACGGCTAATGTCGAAAGCAGCTCCTCCTCTCTTGTCTCCCGGTTGCAAGATAGAGTTAAAATCTCCCGCTATCAACCAGGGATCTTCCATCGTCTCAGCTATCCCCCGAATAGCATGCCAAAGCTCGCGTCTTTGTACTAGGGCGGGGTTAGCGTACACAGCAGTGAAAAACCACGTTGAATGACCCATAACAACTTTGGCATGGATAAACTGGGAAGTTCGGTCTACCGACGTAATCGTGGCTAGCGAAGAGTCCCACAACAACCAAATCCCACTCAAGAAACCTGTCGCATCCACTATAATTTTGCTGTCATACTCCATGCTTTGAACAACCTTCTCTGCTCGGTCACCACTAATTCGTGGTTCAACAATAATTGTAATTCCCGGTTTATACTTCCTCTTGTACTCTTTGAAAACACGCAGGAAGCGCTTGCTCCCCGCTCCCCTACAATTCCACGTAAAGATGTTTGTATCGATCATCTAAACAAACATGGAAGGTAGGCCCCAGGTTCTCGCATTCATTAAGCTAGGCAAGGAGCATCCCCAACACTGGGGTTCTCCTGCGGTATCACAGTCGGTGCGGACGTACTGTTCACATGGGGGGAAGTTCGATCTTGTAATGAAACCCCGGAAGGATCTGGCGGTCTGGGGGAGTGACTGACCGGATCCGAAGTAGTTGCCTCCCCTTCTTTAAAACTCACCCCCTTGACAGTGGTCTCTTCCCGACGTTCATGGACATGCATGGCAAAGTCGCACGTCAAAGAAGCAGTAGCATGCACTAGTTCTGTGCCCTCCCGTTGAGGGTAATCTGCCTTCCTTGAGTTGACCTCTTCCAATGTCTTATTCGGTCTTGCTTGGTCGGGCACTCCCTGCTTCCCACGTTTTAGTTGCTCCCCCAGAGACTTGTCTTTCTTCAGCTGCTGGGTATGCTCCTTGCCGTGTCTCTTCTCATGAGCAGTCGTATCACTAGGGCCACGGGTTGTCTGGGTCGGGTCAGAAGGGGTTCCCTGGGCTTCTTCCACATCAAGCACCCTATACCGTGAGCCCCCCTGCGTTTTCCCTTGTTGATGAGCATCATTTCCTCCCACAGGTCCTCTCGACGCAGTTTGCTGGCGGCCACGTGGTTTCCTTTTCGCAATCATCCACTCGCCATAGGTAGCGTCTTTGTCTTGGCCAGGTTGAGAGTCCCTCGGAGTGACGATTTCCGGTTCCGTATTGTGCTCCTCCGTTTCCATGTTGGCAGTACAGTAGGAACGGGCACGGTCAAAGTACGTCCTGCACTGGAGACAAATTTTTTCAAGCCCTTCATACTGTATGAAGTATTTCTTCCCATTAATCGTGAACTTGGAGAGTAGGGGTTTTTTAATGTCTACTTGAACACAAACCCTAGCATAGTCACTTCTAGCTCCCGTGCTCGTAGCCTGATCCACTCGAACGGGTTTCCCAATGCGGCTCCCAATCTTCATAACGGCCACCGGATGGAAGTAGTGGATGGGGATGTCCAGTAGCCGAGCCCAAACGAGCGTGGATGATATCTTATGCTCGTAAGGGTCAAAATCCGGTGTCCACTGGTGAACTATCAAGTAGTTATCGCCCACCAGCCAAGGTCCTCCCGTGATCGCTCGCTCATAGTCTATGCCACTTGTAAATCGAACTAGGAAATATCCATTCTTGGAAGAGGTAACCTGGATACCACCCGCCTTAGCCCAAATACTTTGTAATCGCCTTGACATTAGTGTGTACGAGACATTTTTCCCAAGGGTTTTGACCACCAGGGCCGACCGGTACTGGCGTCGGAATAGAGTTTCTTCTGCTGCCGTGAAATGGATGGGCG